CCCTACACTTAGAAGACAAAAAAAGCTGTCATATATCAGATAAAACTCCCTATGCCTTTTCATGTCAAATGTCACTTTTCAATGGGTTTGGATCTCTGAAAAAATCACTATTATGCTCTTACAAATTATCTTGATAAAAATCTGATCAACCTATTTTTAATGTCATGTTGTAAAGGTGGGTTTAGTAATTCCCACCAACTGCCAGAACTGGCATTTATCCAGTTCTTACTCTCCTGTGCCTGGGAACTACAGTCATTTAAGTCCCTTGTGTGAGAGGTCTCCTCCAGTGGAGCAGTGTAAGAAGTGCTACACAGAAGTGGCACTTCTAGTCCCTTATGCTGAAGAGCAGGCAGGTTGTGTACATAATTTATCTGACCAGAGACCCCGTGAATGTAAGTTTTTTAGGGAGAGCCTCAACCCAGATTGCCTACACTGAAGCTTTTATACCATGAATGTTGGACTGCAGGGGCATAAGTTTAGCAGGAAAAACCCCCAAATAACCCTTAGCCAATTATTTTTTAACTCAGAACTTTGCCCTCCATTGTTGTTCAGATTAACAGTGTTAACTTCACTCTTCTAATGTTTCTCCTCAATTAATTTTACTTGCCAATTCTAAATCTCTCAGAATGGCATAATAATACCACCAAATTTGGCTATAAAGAACACACTCTGTTTTCACCAAATCTTTCCCCTTCTGCAAAGTCCAGTGGCAATGCACCTTAGGAGCCCTCTATGATATTTTAGAAACAACTAAAGATACTGCATTGTTGATGTACTTGATTGGCCTGTAGACTGAGAAAAATCAGGGTAAAGTATTGCTTTATATTTCTTTCATATTAATTGCAATAATTTTCTTCTTTATGAAACAAACAAAAATAATCAGATGGCAGTAAAGGGCCAATTAAGTGACAGAAATAATCAGTTTTGATTAAAGATCCATGAAGGTAAAAATCAAACTGAGAAGACCTCAATAGGTCCTGGCTACTGAGGAATTTCACCGCAGAATCAGGATTCCAGAATTCTTAAATTTTAGTCATACTAGTTACTGATATATCCCAGATATTCCATTGTTAGGAAATATGCTGGCAAAGAGATGTGGAATTTCGTAAGCATCCAGAAATATCCTTGCTGGCAATAAAAATCATACACTCAAGCCAGAGATCATAACATTAAATAAAACAACAGAAGAAGCTTCCTTCAGTATTCACACCGTAAAGTTTTGCAAACGTCATTATTTCTCAATATAATCACTCAGTTTTCTTCACATAAAAGATTTTAAGTTTAATGCAGTATATTTAGTGCATAAATACATATAAAACATTCGTTTATGCAATATATTTGAAAAGTTAATAAAGAAAAAAAAAAAGGTACATAGCCCTTGTGAACAACTACCCTATTGACCTCAATAGCAAGGTCAGAAGCATTAATTTTGCTCCAACAGCAAAGAAACGTTATTGCTTCACTTGATTTACATCAGTTTGAACGGGAGGCGAATGTGCTCCCAACACATTTCTTTTTTTTTTTTTTCATGTAGGAGATAAGAGTCATTTAAATAGCTCAAACTCTGCCTTTCAGTGCTCGGGGTAGGACAGCTGAAAATTCTCCGCCGGCTGCAAACACGGTTAAGTCTGCATGTACAAAATACACCACCAGGTGTCATCAGCCACTCCGAAAAGCACTGATTAAAGGGCAACCATTGCAACAACATCTTGAACTGTAACGTGAGTAACCACTTCCAGCCCCCAAGAGAGAGAAAAAAATCATCAAACTACATACATACATAATGTAGACTAAACTTAGAATTGGAAGTGATATGGATGATGGTGGTGGTTAATATAGTAAACTAAGCTATCCTAATGGAAGACAGAAACGTAATAGAAAATATGACAGAATTCAAAACCACATAGTGCAAAAATTGTTCACCTTGTTTTTTGCTGCTGTCTGGGAAAAAGGCTGCATACCGTAGGCCTTTCAAAATAAAAACAAAACAAACTTTGTATCTATACTGTAAGCCATCTGATTATCAGGATATACACAAGGCTAGAAAGAATTCATGCACAGTGACCAGGAAATCAATCTGTTACTTCTAACATCTGGTTGCATACATTTCCTCCTGCATTTCTGGAACGCTATCTAATGCTTTCACCAGATTTTGTTTCTTTGCAATATCCTATGTACTTATACCATTAAAAGAACCCAACACCCATCTTCTTCCCCACATACACACCCACCACCAGGCCAGCTTAAAAATTGTCAAGAATTAATGATTGTTAATTAATGCACTCTCTTTGACACATAAACCCTCTTCGAGCATCTAACAAAGATCCCTGTAACATAATTCACTGCACAGGAAATGGTCCCACCACAAAGCAACACCTTCTTTGCTGCATATTATCAAAGATTAACCTATCACTTTATCATTAAAACTCACAGTCCTTATTTGTGTATAAAAGCTGATACATTTTCCTGGGGCCATGCAGAGCAAAGGATCTCAGAGGAAGGGACTCAATTTGCCAATATCCTAGTTTCCTGATGCAGGGCAGGGAAAGCCTCCTGGGTCAGGGTGCAGGCAGACGAAGGGAATCCTCTGCCGGCAGCACCGGCTGCCCAAGTTCAGCAGTTCAGCGGCACCCAGGGACTGGCCACAGCCCCCAGGAGGGAGCGGATTTGGCAGCAAAGCTGCATAGCTCAGAGGTAACAGGAGGCCTTCCCCCTTCATGCTACTCAGCTGCCCGTTGCACTTGTAGATACATGCCTCGGCAGGGCAGCAAATGTCTGTTTAGGAGATTGTATTTAATAGCCAAAGAGCTATGCTCTGTTAAGCAGAGTGGGATCTTGCCGTGATAGGGGTCACCTGTGGTCACTTGTTCTTTAGATTCAAATCAAACATTATATCATAAAGGTCACTTTGCACTGACATAAATCATTGAGACTTCTCAGTAACATGAAAGAAACAATGCAACAATTTTGAAAACACAGCTTAATTTATGACCGACATGTAAGCTTACTTTTTTTGTGATTTGTCTTAAGTAGGTTGTCTAAAAGCAAACATATAAATTTACTCTGGAAGTACAGAAAAATAACATGGACAGAAAATGTCAGGCTATCCAGAACATTTGACAATTTAAATACAGATAAACCCAACAGAAAGGAATGAATCATCATGTCATAGCCTTTACAGTAGAATGAAATATATAGTTGTTGTCAAGGAAAGAACAAATTTAGTGCATAAAGAAAATGTCCATTATAATGCAAATGTACGTGGAAAAGAAATGCTTACTCATTAGTAATGGAGATTTACTTAGCTGTAATTGAAATAGGGAATCTGTATGTTGGAGAATGTGACATCCTGCTGTACAATTAGCATACCATTAAGAAGGAGATGTGAAGCACAGACTGACAGTAAAATTAACAATAACTTAGAGGTCACAGTTGTAACTATTAGGTCACTTCCATACCTTAGCAAGCCTGTAATTATTGTTTAAAAAAAATAAATGTAGAAACGATTAGTGAATTTTTGTTTTCCTGGAAATTATATATAAGTATAGCACATGAAAACAATATCATCTCCTTTCTTAGACTTTGTGTAAAAGGACCACTTTGCCTTTGTATAATGCATATTCCATTAACAGAGCTCATTTCTTACCTGTTAATCTGTTTTCTCCAAGTCCCTTAATGG